TAAGAATAAGTTTAAAAGCAAATGTAATAGATAAATATAAATATAGACATCTGTTATAGAAAATATGGATAGTATAATGTTTTATAATAGCTAAGAATATATGTGTTAAAAAAAGTTAAGTGTGGAATACAAAATATATCCGAATTCTTGACATTATTAAATATATAAATTAAATTTTTGAAAGATGAGTGAAGCATAAGCAGACCGTATCCTATCAATTGCAAATCAAGAGACAGTAAATAGATTATTTAGAGTATGCTATAAATAAATTACAGGTTTGAAATAAATTTGACTAATTAGGATAAAGACCTGTAGGTAAATTTTAAGATGGTGATCATTAAGCTGTATTGAATTGCCACAGGAGACTTGTTGAAGTACTAAAAATAGTTGCTCCTGCAATTGTGCCTTTAAGAGAAGAATGATTTAATTATACAAATTGTTATCATCAAAACCAGAATATTTAATAAATAGCTACAAAATTCAATTAATATATATATGTTATTTTTTATATGACATTCATCTTCTCATTCCCATAGGTGGTCTACCTGGTTATCCTTTTGGTTTCATTTTTGTATCTTAATCAGATTTCGGATTTTTAACAGTTTCATCAATAGATAAAATTGCGCAAGCAGCCTATAAAAATAAATAATAAAAATACTTCAGTTGCAGAACAAAGAGCATTCCTTTTGACTAAACTAGGTTCCCAAACAAAGGAAGAATGAGTATCACAAACTCCTGATTATCCATTAATATCAACTCCGTACCATCTACCTTCATCTCCACCTTAAGCATGTCTTTATCTAAGTTTATTCATAATTTCAATAGAATTTAATCCTGCATTTTCAGCAATAGTTCTTGGAATTACTTCTAAAGCTTTGGCATAAGAATTAACAATATATTATGTCTTTCCTGTTACAGATCTAGCGTAATGTCTTAAATATCTAGATAATTCTAATTCAATAGCTCCACCTCCAGCTACAATCTTGTTAGCTTTGAAACATCTTCTAACAATCATAATAGCATCATTTAAAGATCTTTCAGCTTCTTAAATAAATTATTCGGCTCCTCCTCTTAATACTATAGTAGCTGTTCTAGACTAAGATATTATTTTAATCTTTAAATACTTATGGACAATTTTTAAATAAGTTATATCTTTCTGCTCCTACTTAAACTTCTTCAAATAATCCACAAGTTCCAAAAGTTTCTGGATTTAAACCATTTACTGTTGTTTAAACTTATCCTCCAGTAGCCTTATTAATTAATAATACTATTACTTTTTAAACTCTAAGAAGATCTTCTTAAGCAACTCTTCCGGCACAAAAGATATTTCTATCAGCAAAATATTATGTGGCTAAATCTCCAATTGGAAGTTTAGATAATACAATTTAAGCACCTGCTTTTACTATAGTTTCTAATTTCTCATAAATTAATGCCCATTCTGCATCCACTATTTATTAATATTCTTCTGGTTTTTCAATTCTAATTTCTGCATTTTCTTTTTCACTTTTAAGTTCTAATTCTAAATTTAATAAACATATCTTTGGATTTTCAAATCTTTTTGGTTATTATTCAAATCCAGCATATGAAAATGTTTTCTTAAATGCAACTCCATCAACTAAAAATGAATCAGTTACACTTCCTCCTGTTACATTCTTGATTCCTATCAAATCTCTATCTAAAATATTTGGGTCTAACTTTTCTACTGCTGATACAACTAATTCACTAAAGAATTATTTAGTATTGGCTAACTAATTAAAATTTATTATTATTATACTAATTTTGAGTTTAATGCTGTTTAAGCACATTTCAATAAAGTATTTCTCTTATCTTCTGGAGAATCTCGAGATATATTTATTGAAAACCCTTCCAATTTTTCTAATGCTAATTCCAAAGCTTTTCTATATCCTTAAATCACTATTTATGGATGAATTCCTTCTTCTATAAAAGGCTTAGCTTCTTTTAATAATTCAGCTGCCAACAATGTTGTAGATGTTGTACCATCACCAACCTCATCATCTTAGGATTTGGCAATATCTACCAATACTCTAGCAGCTGGATGAACAACCTCTAATAAATTTAGAATTGTAGCTCCATCATTAGAAATTGTCACTTTAGGACCTGTCTATATCATTTTATCCATTCCTCTTGGACCAAGGGTACTTTTTACCACATCAGCCACAGCTTATACAGCATTGATGTTAGACACTATCTAAGCTCTTCCTTATGATGTGTCTGTGCCTTCTCTTAATAATAAGATGGTTGGTTGTAAGAATTGGGACATTTAATACACAATTTTATTTATTTAAATTTGAGGCATTTTCTTTTACAAACTCTCATTTTCAAATATATTATTCAAAATACCATAAATTTATATTTAAACTTTTATTAACCAAATATATAATACTACTCTTGATTAAACAAATAAATTTTTGTTATTTTTTTCATTTTACCTCAACTTTTTTTACATTAAATTTTTATTTATATATTTAATATCATTTCTTTTAAAATTTTAGTCCTCTAGTCCGATTGCATAAGCTAAAAAACTATTAAAGATATCGATTCATATTATTTTCAATTTAACCATAATTTTATTATAATACAACTTTTATCCTATAGTAACTTATAATCATTAAAATACTTACCATATTTGATCTACATATAATTGTTTTTTTATATTCTAATTAATTAACGCCTGGTTAAAATAGAGCTAACAACTTTTTAATTTATAATTATTACTTATTATAAAAATGTTGTAATATACATTTTTGATAAAACTCTTAATTATAACTCAATATCCTATAAATCATAATTTTATTTGTTTTAAAATATAAAAGTAGCAAATTAATTCAGCAACCTATATTCAAATCAAGATTTGTAAATTTAAACTAAAATTTTACAATTATTAATCCTCCATAGGCATTATCTTAATCAGGGTAATATTTTTTATTTAAAATCTTATGTTTATATAGAACTATATAATATTTCAAAAGTTAAGTTTCTTTATTTCTGAGAAGAGTTGAAAAATTTTTCGAATCTATTATTTCATGATATTGATTTAACTATTTCAATTATATCTCATTAATATATGGAATCAAAACGAAGTATTTAAAAAATCTATGTTAATCTTAAAAAATCAACAAATTTTGCAAAAAATAAAATAGTTTTCGAATGGTTTATTTAGACAATATTCTTATTATAAGAAATCTATTTCAAATTATTATAAAAAAAACATAAAAAGTTACGTGTTTTTGTAAGTTATAAATAATTGAATTTAAATTTATAATATCGAAAAGTCTGAATTGCAAGTTGAGTGTCAAGATAAAAAAATACTTTAAATTAATTTTATTTATTAGCAATCAATCGAAATCATCATCTTTTTAATTTTTTTTCATATGCAATTTAACCATAGCTTTACCAATAGCCCCAATCCAAGCTTCCTTTTCTAAATTATTACTTGACATTAGAAAAAATGTTGTTTCGGGTGTATCGATTTTCTAATGTTATTCACAAATATACAAATGTATTTTCTTTGTTTGTTTCATCCTAACATGATTTAATTGTACTTATAGTTGATAAAGGAATAATCTCTGTTGGATTAGTATATTATTTTTCTGCCTTGAAAGTATATAAGGTTGTCGTTGTTAAAACAAACCATCTTCTAATATGGGTGAATAATATAGAATACTTTCTCCAAGATTTAAATACACGAGATTCTTTTTCTAGCCAACCTGCTTTTATTATGTTTTTGAGATCTTCATTCATGTTGTTTTGCATTAGGTTAAAATCTATACTTTATATAATATAATATTATTTAATGCTCCATAAATATATGAAAATCAATAGATATATTTCAGGATGTTTCATAACTATTAATATCATTTTCTTAAACTTCCAATTAATCACTGTCTTTATCATCATCTGAAATTTTATCATTTTCAATATCTGTTGGTACATACAAACCATCTTGATCATAGAAATGTTCATGATAAATATCGCCTGGATGTAAAACAAACCATCCAGCTGGTTAACCATCTTTATCATAATAACAACCATTTTCATCTCTCCATCTATACACCTAAATTACATTCATACCCTCCATCTTCATCAAAAAAATACTATTATTGATTTACTAGAAATCCTATCACTTTATCATTATCATCCTTTAATTCAATATATTCGCTAAATTTTTCAGGTTAATGCTTTGGTCCATCTTTCAAAATTGGACAGTCAAAAGGGTCAACCCTCAACCAATTTTTCGAGATTTCTTTTTCTTGATGCATTTATGAATTAATTTTATGTAATAAAATGTATAGAACCCCGATATTTAAAAATACATTTAATTACATATTTGAAAAAAATTAATAGAAATATATTTTCTAAATAACATGAATAAAGAAATTCATGAAGATAAACAAATCTAAAAAGATCCAGAATGTCCCATTAAAACTCTATTAAGAACGAAAATTCAATAGAATATTATTTATAAAGAACCTGATTAATATAAGTTAATGAGTGATTTTAATTAAAGAAATATTACTTATGGAGTGACAGTAGAATATAAATTTTTGAGAATAATATAAGAGAATGATTTTTTGGAAAGCTCCCAATTATAATTCTACATGAATTTATTCAAAAAAGCTTATCCAAAAATCAAAGTAATAAATTATAATAAATATAGTTAGCTGCAGCTACTTGTCACTTTTTTGCTGACTTTGTAGTATCATCACAACAGTCTTTAGCGCCTTAATCAGAACCTCAAATTATACATATAGATTATAAAACACCAAATCTAACTAATACTAAAACTGAAAATGAATAGATAAATTAAAAAAAAATAAATGAGAACCTTAATCTTTTGGAATCCAGACTAAATTTTACGAATTAAAATAAATAAGACGATTAGAAATCATAAAATGATTCTTAAGAGGAATCTTAAAATAATTAATAACAAAATAAATCTGATCTATCCAAAAAAAATGAAAACAAAGATTCCTAACAATAAGTGTCAGTGATAAAAGAAGATTAATCATTTAATCAAAAATAATAATCTAGTGAGAAGTAAATTTAAAAAGATAAAGAACAATAGTAATAAGATGAATAAAAATAAAAACCATAGTAACAATAATAATCATAACTTTAATTATAATAGTAATAATAAGAACAATTATAATAACAATAAAAATAATAACAACAATAATAATAACAACAATAATAATAACAATAATAATAATAACAATAATAATAATAACAATAATAATAATAACAATAATAATAATAACAATAATAATAATCAAAATAACAGTAATAATAAGAAAAATAACAATAAAAATAAAATTCTTCAGAAAAATAGAAATTTTAAGAAAAATAGTAATAGTAAGGACCTTCAAGTCAATCTCAATAAATGGCTGATGGGAATTAAAAAAAAAAATCTACCTCAAGTCAATCAGAAATTATAAATCCATAATCACAAAATAAATAAAGTTCAATAAATACAGCATCAACTATTCACCATGAAAAAAGTCAAGGTAAGGATAATTTGAAAAATAATTCAAATACAAAAGACGTAAAAAATTCAGAAACGAAAAAATAAACTAATAATACTTAAATCTAATCATAAGTTGGTATTAATAATTTGCAAGATAAATCAAATAAGGCTGATGTAGCAGAAATTTCCGAATAATATCTTTAATCTAATTCAAAACTAAAAGATTTTTAAGAAACTTAGAACGATTAAACTACAGATCAATTGGATTCGAAGAAATAAGTATAGAATGAAAAAAATCAAATTCAAAACGTATAAAACTAATCCTCCTAGGTTTAATAAACTCAATAAGTTTCTTCTGTTGCTTAGGCTCCAGTTGGGGAATAGAAACAGGTATAACCTGAAAAAAAATTTTTTTTTTAAATTAACACAATTGTTGTAGAAAAGGCAGTTCCATAAGAAAAAATATAGAAATCCTAGCTACCTTTATTAATAAAATAATTTGCGGAAATGAATAATATCACAGAGGAATAATTAAAAGATTAAGATTTTTGGTACTTTCCAATAAATCAACTCTAAGCTCATTGGATTAGCGTGGTGATATTTTTGAAAACAAAGCAGATATATTACTTTGATTCATATTATAAAAAAGTGGATCCTATCATCATTTAAGCTATTTATTCTATTTTAGAATACTTAAATTTTAAACCGAAAGAATTTTAAAAGAGGGAAATATATAATTAATAAGTTAATGGGTATTATTTAAGTTTATTTTAGTTATGATTGTGGAGTTTTCATATTGCTTTCGCTTCTATATACCTTATAAAATAAGAATTATGATTATGATTAAAAAATTGTAACTACTTTTAGATAAAAGATTCTGTATAATCTTGCTGTTGTAGGTTCATAAATAAATATTGATTAGTAATTATTTGAAGATATAATTTAAAAAAGTTGAGTCTAAATTATATAAAATGGAATTATTATTAATATTATTTATAATTTTCTATTATTCGTGTTAAGAATGTATAAACAAGCCTAATAAAACGCATAAGTTATGGTAGAAGACAGATTGAGACCATACTTAAAAATCAATGAAAGAAAAAATGGTGTTACAATAGATTATCAGTTTTTATACTAATTAGCATATCGAGAAAGACAGTTGACGTCTTAACATATGTTATTTTTTATGACTTTATTTAAAAAATATTTCTAATAGAAAACATAGGTATTATTTATTATAGATAAGATTTTTCTTGCTGATTGTTACTTTTTTGTTGATTTTATGCCTTAATTGACTAAACAATTGCCTACTAATGTCTTATAAACAAATGAAAAAGATTAGGCTCAATTAATAACGCTAGATAGTCCTTATCCACCATCATAACCTACCGATATTAATGGACCTTTTTATGAAAAATCACAATAAAAACCTTAAGAGAATAAATAATAATAATAAGTAGTTTAATAATTTTAGGAGACACAAAATGGTAAAAAATATTAATTTGTAATCCAAAATGTTTCATATTCAAAACCAGAAGAAGGCAAGTTTAGATTACAAACAATGCAAAATCAACTAGATTAGTATTTAAAATAAAATTAATTGAACCTTGATTTAAATCCTGTTTATTAGCATTCATTTGCTTTTTTCCCAATAAATTTAAAAAATACACATTGGATAAGTTTAATTATTGATAATTCAACATAAACAATACTATATTAGGATTCTGCATTGTCAGTTTATTCTGATATAAAAGAAGGAATTTTAAAGATTTTAGATTATAAAAAGCCAGCCCCAATATAATGGAGATTTTAGACAAAAAGTCCATAATAAAAGTCATCATAAGTGAATTATATTTAAATAATTAGGATTGTGGAGTTTTTGTATTATATGCTTTGTTTATTTTATATACAGAAGGTAAATTAGTTTAAGAAAAATAGTATGATTAAAATTACATAACTAAAGTTAGATAAAATCTGTTATAATTAGCCATATAAGAGGTAGAATAAGAATTAAATGCTGAATAAGTAAATATAATAGTAAAAGGTCTTTGAAATAATTTAAAAATATATATTAATAAAGAAATAAATACAAACTCATTTTTTCCAAGGCTTAGTTTTAAATTATTTTTACACATAAGGATTTGCATTATATACTGCATTTGGTGAATGAGCTCTTTATCTATTACCAATAGGTTTAAATTATGCATTTGGTTAAATAGTTAATTCTTATTTTTAATTACCAGTACTATTTTTTTTATATGGAGTAACCTGAAGTCTAGGTGCTCTTAATTAATTAGGGGCTGTTTAAGGTCTTCTTTCATTCTAAAATACTCCTTAATTAGAATTCTAATTGATTTTTTGTTAAGATTGTAAAAAAAATTAATCACCTGAATCCATATAATTATTTGGTTACTTCTTAGGTTTTAATGATTCTATAATAAAGTTAAAGCTTACAAGTAGCTTCAGGTAACTATTATAATTTTGAACTATCACTTTTAACAACAACTTTCTTTACATCTTATGATGAAGGCCTTTAATGAGCAGGTTAAATAGGTTATAAGGGTTGAGTCTAAGACATTAAATTAGTAGTTGCACGAGGAGATTATTAAATTTATTATTCATATTATAATGTCTTTCCAGTCAAACAAGATTTAGTTTCAATAGCTTAAGTTTGTTTTTTTTTATTAAATACTATTTTTTCATAAGGTGGAATATACATTGTGATTTTTTCAGCAAAACGTAATCTAAATTATTTAATTAATTACTTTTAAGTTTTTGGTTTTTAATCATGATCTTTAAATTCTGCTACTCCTTAAGGTTATGCATTTAAATATGTATTTCTTAAAACCATTTCTTCTGGGTCTCCTTAAGTATATACTTCTTCCCAATTATAAGTTTTTGCTCCCAAACCATTTTTTTAGAATTTGGTTTCTATTGCCAACAGTTAATTAAAAAAATTAGCTCTAATTTCTAAATCTGGCCGTCTGCTGTGCATAAATTATAAAGTTTTATATAAAGTCCATCTATACTTTTTCATAAAATAAACACAAAGAACAGCTATAGATCTATTATGCCCTCTTATTGAATGTACAATAACACTTTCTCCATTATTCAATGCATCATCAATAAATTTAATTACTTAATTTATTAGTTCCTCTTGTTAAAATATAACCTTATTATATCAAATTTTACTTAAGTATCGTTATCAATCCATGGCAATGACATATATACTATACCTATTGATTCCCAATGATTTGGAATTTGTTTTGAAGCACAATTAACTATTCTGGAAACCTTATTAGTTACAATAAATTCTAAGTCCTATAATCTTTATTCAATTCTATACTTAAGAGGCAAATTGATCTCCTAAAAATAACCCATCTTTTATTTTAATAGCTCCGATGTAATCGTATTCCATTATATTGTTACTATTAATATTTATATAAGAAATTATTATTAGAATAGATAACAAGAAATTAATTTTCAAATTACTTATTTAGGATCATCAATTGAAATTCTCCTCATTTTTAATTAGCATTCATTCTGAAAATCTATACTTTTCTCAAAAAGAACTAACTCTAAAGCTTACAAAAATTTATTTATCTTATACAAATGAATAAATTTTTATAAATTCTCTCTTTTTAGAGAAAATTCAAAAATTAATTAATTTTCTTATGACATGCTTATTCTTATTATTATAAATTCAAGTTCACTATGAGTAATCTTTAATATTCTACAAATCTATAAAAAAAATACAGAAAACTAATTTTTTGAACCTATCAAACTAAAACCTTATGTTGATTAATCAGCATTTAATAAAACATTTGATGCTCCAACAAATTTAATCACATTTCTAACAGTTTCAACTGGATAAAAATGAACTTCTTTATTACCATATAAATAAAATCCAGATATAAATTGAATAGAAATATCGAATAATATGTTTCTATATTTTTCAGGTCTTTATATGCACTTAAAAACTTCTCTTATCAAACGATAAAAATGATTAATTTTATCAAGTGCAATTTTCTCCTATAAAGAGCTTTAAGATGAACTTATAAACTTTACTAAAAATTTAACTTTGTCTGTTATTGTGATTATTACATCTAGTTGTGAGTATCCTCTAAATGTGAAAGAAAATTCATCAATTATGTTACCTTATTCAAAAGAGCTTTTTATTGTACTTAATTTTTCCAATAAATAGCTTTCCAAAGTTTAATTTTCAAAATGAATATATCTAATTAAACTTCGTAAATTACAACCATCACAAAGATTTGTATTCCATTTTTTTATCCTATTTTGTTTACTTACTAGAATAGGCTAAAACTATCCTTATTAATATTCAAAAAACATAAAAGGGACTGAAATAAATTTCGGTAAATATTGTACTAAAATAAAAAAATTTTTTACAATATCTATCTTCTTTGACAGTCAATAAAAACTGCTTTCTCTTAGCTTAGCCTATTATATAATAAGCTACGATTGAACTTATTGCAACAAGTACACTATATATTATTGTAACAGCCCTCAAATTTTCCTCTTAATATTTACTCATTATCAACAACTTTAAAATACATTGTATTACAATCTATGGAACTATTTGATAAAAGTCTAAAGACATCATTAGAATCATTTATGTGGCCATCACATTTGATCCTAAAACAAAACTTCTTTATTAACCATAAGTGTTGTCAACCCAAAATTAGACTATTGAAAACGAGTAATTTAGTAAAGTCATCAAATTTGAAGAATATTCAGGATACTTAAATAATACTATTAAAGTGATTAATGACACAATCAATCCTGGGGCTTATAATTCTATTCTTAAAGGTGAGTTTTAAAATGAATCAGATATAAGTTTTCCTATATGCAAAATAATTGATGAGATAGTTATAACTTTAAAAATAAAGGTTTTATGATTATCCTGTTATTTTGCTTAAAACTAAGATTCCAATGCCTAATTTTCAAATTTAAGTGTCCATTTATTCATTTTAATTTACAAAGTTAAATTATTTGATATATCATCTCATTGAAATTAATGAGAATACTGAAAAATTAACTCAAAAATATATTATTTTCATAATAAAATAAATTATTAGGCTCATATGGATCCTTCATTATTTATATCTTCAGATTACAGAATCTTATCTTCATTATCTGAAATATTTTTTGATATATTAGAAGATGATGAGTCATTAATAATTTCAAAATCTTATTATTCTTAATTATTTTTATTTTATTGTTTGATATCAATAAATTTTTAAATAATATTTTAAGAGTTTTTTATTAATTGATTGAAATAAATTTTTTAATCTGATTCAGGTTCTTCTTTTTCTTCTTCTTATGAATTTTTCTATAATGATTCATCTCCATTTTAAAGAGAATTCTCTTATTATTATGGTGTATTTAAAATTAATGATTGATTTTATTCAAAATTATTAATAAGATTACTTCCTTTATCAAAAATAGAAGGATTTGAATTTGATAATTAATTTTTATTAAATTATTAATTCATATCATTAGATTCTTTAAATAATAGACTTTAAATTGGCTTATTATTATCAATTTATAGGTTAAAAATGTTTTCAGTTTTATTTGAAGTATTTTTAGATTCATTTGGTTAATTAAATAAAGATTTTCCTTATATACTTGATGGTTATTCTAATAGAGGCTAAGTTTTTTTAGGTAGATTTTAATTACTATCCTATGTAAATTCTATGCTATCATTATTTATAAAAGAAAAAAGACCTTTTCCGTCAAGTTCTTATGAATTTTGTAATCTATTATTATTAGTACTTAAATTAAATATATTGCCATTGTATTAAATTTTTTTTTTTTATATTAAATTAGAGCATTCTTAAGGAACTTGGTGTATTTTGTTAGATTTAACTTTCTCCAAAAATATTAAGAATATTTTTTTGTTTACCATATGTATTTTGTAATTATATAGTAAGTTTTTCAACTTATTACTTTAAAAAATGATTATCTTTTTGCAATTATTCTATGACTTTTGCTTACATTTGAATAAATTCTTAAGATTTAGCAAATTAATTTATTTATTCTTCAGCATCATAACTTGTAAATTGATATTTTACCATTATAATTTTTAAAATAATAATAATATTTAATTGTAAATAATTAGATTGTGCTATCTATCAATTTTGGGATCGAATTAATTTTAAAATAATAATGATCAAATTCAATCTTTATATTCTCCATTATCTGTTTTTCTCATCATTTCTTTCAATTTTTTTCTCAATCTAATAAATAAATATATTTATAACATTTTATCTCTAGGAGGTTCATTTTCACTATCTATGCTTTAACTTCTAGAAACTCTATATTAAGGACTACTTCTATTTTTAGGACTTCTACTTCTGCTTCTACTTTTAGAACTAATTAATAAATAATAATTTATATATTACTTTCTTTTTCTTTATTTTCTCTCTTTTTCTCTCTCTCTTTCGAACCTATCATAATTTCCTCTTTATTATCTTTATTTAATTTATTATAATACCCTCTATCATCTCTTGGTCGATCTCTTCTAGGTTCTCTATTCTCATCATATCTGCCTGACTTTTTTGACCATTCAACATTAATTCTCAATCCTTAAAGAATTTATAACATTGAAATAGATACCTTATAAATCTCTTTAATGTAAAGCATTTTTAGCAGCTTCTGCTTCTTATTCACTTTTATATTAAATAAATGCATACTAATAAAAATAATATATGTATTTACTCTGTCATTATTTTTGACTCTAAAATCTACAGTACAATCTCCATAGACCTTAAATTCTCTTTCTATATCTTTTTATTCAACCAATCTTGAAATATTCCCTACAAAAAGACTCATTCTTGCATTCCTAAATTATTGTCTGCTCATTATAAATTATATGATTTTAATATAAATTATATTTAACTGAAAACATTTAATAAAAAGTTAAAAAAATAAAAATCGTTCAAGAAATGAGTTAGTTAACGGAAAGCCCAAATAAATTAAATGAATAACAATCCATTCCTTAAGATGAAATTATTGATAAATCACAAAAATAAGCAACATCTTCTCCAGATAAAGAGAACTCTCAAGAATTATTCAGATTGTAAAAATAATAATTCATATAAAAAATGACTTCAGACAATTAGTCTAGACGTTAAAAAAAAGTAAAATATTTTATAAATGTATAAATAGATGATAGGAGATATAAAAGATGTCTTAAATGTAAATAAACAAATTATTAATTTTGGCATGGTAATACCAGGAAATATATGTGAAGATGACATATAATTTTAAAATCTTTCTAATGAGACAGTTATAATTGGCATATAAATAATATGTCATAATACAGAATTTGATGATTTAGATGAGTATGTTTATTCAGCCAGAAAACTTAATGGATATGATTACAATGATCGTTTTATGTTAGCTTGTCCAGGATAAAAGTAGTTTTCTATGAAAGTTGCTTTAAAAGTTCCAAATATTAAAGAATAAAAAGGACTTTTTGGTACCATTATTATAACAGCATCTTATTCTAATCATTAGAAAATATAAGGATAAATAAATACTTAAATTTAAAGTTAAATTATACTACCCTCTATTGAATGTCCTAAAACATTAATGAATTGTATATTTCAATCAATAAATTAGCAACTTATAATTTACCTGTAATTTAAATGGCTTTTAAATTAGGTAAGAAATTAGATTGTAAGATTCCATTTAAGAATAATAGTTTGATTGGATTACCACTTGAAATGGAATTTCTTAACAAAAATGATAATGAAATACTAATAAATCCTCCTGCATTATCCGTATAGGGTAATTCTTAATTTTTAGTTACAATCTATATTAAAAGTAAACAAGAATAGATCATAAAGAATGTTTTAATAGTTAAAGTTAAAAATTCAAATGTTCATTTTAGTTATCCGTTCATTATTAAAATATATTGATTTCATTTTACTAAGTTATAAATAACACTTTATTTAATCAATAAGATATAAATTATTTCAAAACTATTTTTATTATGAGTTTTTGATGAATATTATAATTAATTGCTTCTACTATGTCATTTAATAAAAAAGGTCGAGAAGACTTAATGTAAATAACAAATGACGAAGATGGAAGAGAAATCAATCCTCATATGCCTTAATATATTATAAATGCACCATGTATAATAATATAGTGATTATTAGGGTATTTAAAGGAAAGTACTCCATCATTAAAACATTAAAGAATAAGAAAATAATAGAATACTAGTACATTTGATAATTGGTATCAGAGAGGATCAAAAGTATATTAAAAAATCATATAATAATAGGGAGCTACAAATTTTAAATTTAAAAAAGGAGCTTGTACTAATTGTGGGTCCACAACGCATTAAAGTAAAGATTGTTGTGAGAGACCCAGAACCATAGGAGCAAAATATACTGGTAAAGATATTTAATCAGACGACATTGTAACAAATGTTGCTGGTTTAAATTATGATGCAAAAAGAGATAGATGGAATGGCTATGATCCAGAAACTTATAAATCATAAATAGAAGAATATGAGATTCTTGAAGAAAAAAGAAAAGAAGCTAGACTCTAAGAAGGTTAATAAACAGAGTCTGGCAATTTAGATGATGAATTTAAAGATAATGGAACTGGTGAACATTAAACTTAAATGACAACTAGAGATCCAAGAACTAAGACTATGACGAGAAATTTACGTATCAGAGAAGATAGAGCTAATTATTTGTTGAATTTAGATGTCAATTCAGCATATTTTGATCCAAAATCTAGATCTTTAAGAGAAAATCCAAATCCTCATTTACCTCCTGAGAAATAAGTTTTTAAAGGATTAAATTAAATTAGATTGACAGGGGAAACTCTATAAATGTATGAATAAGAAAGATTTGCATGGTAATATGCTGAATAGCATAATTTAAATCTAAATACAGTATCATTACCAACTTTAACAGAGAAAACAGTATGATATTCATATTAATTAAAATAGTATAAATAAATTAAAGCAAAAAAGGAAGAATAAAAGATTGGAAGAGCGGAAAGTTTAATTGATAGATATGGTGGAGAAGATCACTTTGATCCACAATTGGATTTGTTATTAGGATAAACTGAAAAATATGTTGAGTATGAAGAAGATGGATTACCTAAAAATCCATCAAAGAAAAAAGATTTAACTAAAAGCAAATATTAAGAAGATTAATTTTATGGTGATCATACAAGTGTTTGGGGTAGTTGGTGGAGTGATGTTCTTGGTTGGGGATATGATTGTTGCTATTCTAATGAAAAACTGAATTCAGTTTGTTTAGGAGATAATGGAAAAAGATTGTAATTGAATAAAGAAGCTCGTTTAAAAAGAGAAATAGAAGAAGACTTATAAAAAGCACAAACTTAAGATTAAGGGTCAAGTCCATTACACTAACAACCTCAACAAAAAATTATTCAATAAGCTTAATAACAATGAATTTATTTATTATTTATTGTTATTCAGAATGTTCTAAAATCATATATTAAATTTCAATATTAATATTATATTTTCAATAAAAATAAACTAAAATTCTAGCAAACTTATTTTTAGCAAAATTAAATCTCTTTGTATATAATTATATTTTACCTAATGTAAACAATTCATTTGAAAAATTTATTAAAGGATAATAGAGAATTAAAGAAATAGTTCACATTAAATAAAAAGTTTGATATAACTTCAGTACCAATTTTAGTTAGAAATAAAAGTTGCGAATGTTTAGAATGCGGTGGATAAATTATTAAATAAATTGAAGAACAAAAAATCAATATCAAATTACCTGTTAAATACATTCCTAAATTTATAACTTAACATGAAAAATTAAAAAGGCTCAACCTTTACTCAAAAAAAGAATAAAATACATAAAAGTATTTGATATTTTAAATGTTAGTATGGATTTCTTGTCTATTGCTCCAAAAAGAAATTAATTGTAATTTACTAATTTAAATGAATAACCTTTAATAAGTCCTACTTTAGAATAACCTAAAAGAGATATGAGAAAATTAAGTAGACTCATAGAAAAATATGAAACTACTAGAATTGACATAATTTAATAATGTAAAACCTTGCCTGATGCCGCATCTAAATCTTAAAATCAATATAAATATTTGAACAGATAAAAAACTTAACATTATTCATATATCAAAATTCTACCTTTAGGTAATGATGAATAAATAAAATCTGAAACCAATAGCAATCATCGCAAAAATTCATCTCAAAAAACTCCTTTAAGAAATTAGGTTTATAAAGAATTAAATGAAAATACAATTTTAAGATAGTTGTAAACTCCAATATTATAAAAATCTAAATTTTCAAATTATCCAATATTAGATTTTTCTGATGGAATAAGAAAAGCTATGGAAAAGATTAAAGAAATAGATGAATTTTCTAATAATAGTAAAATTGTAAGTACTTAATTCAATGAAGATTCTAAAAATAAAAATAGAGGAGCTATTTTGTTGAAATCTATTTTAGATTGTACAAAACTTTTAGAAAAAAATCCAAAATAGTTAAAAAAGCTAGATGTTTTTGTAAGAGCTAAATCGCTAAATCGGAAATTAAGTAAACATGAGAGAATCTACTCACCATCAAAGATTTATTTACCTAAAATCATTAGAAGATGATTGTTTTAATAAATATAATTTTTATGTGTTTGTTTATTCAGGTTAAGAATAATAAAAATAGAATATTAAATATTTTAAAATTATATCTTGAATAAATAAAATAATAATTAATATATGCTATCATTTTCATTATAAAATACTCAATTCTTTTTTTAAAGTTATTTCATTATATATTGTATTCTAATAAATTAAATATAATTACTTTATATAATAGTAGAGGTTCTAAATTATGAGATGTTTCAATATAACTAGAGAGAAAATTGAGAACTTCTGATCTAACCTCTTAATCCATTCCAATGTTGTAAAATTGATAAGGAATTTTCTTTTCTGTTAAGATTCTGGCAATTTCACAATTTTAATCAGGTTGCCCATCTATTAAAATGATGTATTTTGAAATTAATTAAATTTATTCTAATTTTGAAGTTTTCGTCATAAAAGCATCTTTTGGTATTAATTCCGCAAATTTCTTTTACTCAATTAATTCTACTGTTGCCTTACTTTTAAATAATAAAAAAATACATCAGCTCCTCCTATTAGTTTACCATTCACAAAAACTTAAGGAAAAGTTTGCCATTTTGAGTATAGTTTTAAATAATTAACCATAAGTTTATCAATTTCAATATCATAAAATCCAAATTGAATACCAAAAGGCTATAATTTCTAAATAAGCTTTGATGTAAATCTACACATTGGTTTTTCAGGAGTTCCTACAATAAATAGCATTATTGGATTTTCTTAAATCATAGATTCAATCTTTTAAAAATAGTTTTATTATTGATTTCTGAATTAAGTTTCAAATTGTTCAAATATATCTTCTAATTTTAGTATAATTTATGCAGGTTCCAGACTGAATATTTAATCATTTATTAATTATGGATATGATGAAATTAAAACAGAAGGTAATTATTAAATCTAAATTTTATTATTGATTTACATTATGATTTCTTGCTATTTATTCGTCATTACAATATGATAAAGCATACTTTTCAACATCTAGAGGTAATATTTTTAATAAATCCTCTAATCTTTTTTTATAATCATCGTTATCATAGAATACTGTTATTATAAGCTACACTATAAAATTTATCTGTATACTTTGTGAAAATTAGATGATTGAAATTCATTTAAAGAATATTCTTATGTAATTGATGTCATAATTAATTTTTAAATACTTTTTATATTATTAATAGTGTAAAAAAAGTAATGAAACCTTTCATTGATTTCAAAATAGCAATAAATCAAGTTTTAGTGGATTCTTAAATTTCTTTGATTTATAGACTCAGTATTTTTATTTATCCTTTTTTATTTATTTATTTCCAATTTTTTAGGAAATTATAAATATTCAATTCATCTTCCTCCAAATTATTTGGGGGCTCTTTCACTTTCTTCAATTTATCTTCATAAAGTTTAAATTTCTATATCTAAATAAACAAGAATTACATCATAATTCACATCATAAACATTTTTTGATCTCAACATGTATTCAACAAAATCTAATTATTCTAATTCTTCTTTTTCTTCTTCCTCTTTTTATTTTTATATCTTGCTTTCTATTTCTCTTTTTATTTATCTATTTGAAGTTTCTATTTCTTCTTAAGATTTTTTTCTCTCTTAAAAAACCTATTTAGGAATGATTAAGACACTTTTTTACTTTTCTAATTTAGGAGGCTATTTAGCCATTTCTTCCTAAATTTATTTCTCAATTTCATTTTTTTATTTTTAAATAAGTTAAGCTAATTCTTTTTTTTTATTCTCTTCAATTTCTTTTTATTTTTCTTCTTCTAATTATTTAGCTTTATTTAATTATTCATCTTTTTCTCTTTTTTATTATTATTCTCTCAACAATCTTTCTTCTTCTTTTTTTTGTTATTCAATGTTATCTAATTTTAATTACTATTATTTTTTAATAAATTATTCTTCTGTATTATCTTCTTAAAATTAATATACAAAATCTTCTTTTTTATTTTTTTTTCTTTCAATTTCCTCTTATATTTTCTGTATTTCTAGTAGTTTAATTTATTAATTTTTCTCCTCTTCTTTTTATAATATTTATTAATTTAATTTATATAAATTTTGTTCTTCTCTTAATTATTTTATGTATTCATCATTATTTTTTAATTGTTTATCATCATTTGTTTTTTAGGGAGGAAGAATAGTTTAGATTTCTGATTATTACTTTTACTATATAGGTGCTACAGTTTATATTTAATCGCTTTAATATAAAAGTTATTATTATATTGAAGCTTTTAATTTTTTTTTTGTTTATTGCAGTTTTTGATTTGTTTATTTATTTATGAGTTATACCTATTCATTTTTTTTATTGTCCTATTTAACTATATTTCTTTATAATTATCTTCTTAAATTATTATCTAATTATTTTTCAATTTATTCTTATCTTCCTTCTATTTGATTAATAATTTAATTTTCAATTATTTATTCTTCAAACTCTTATTCTTCTTCTACATTTGATTCATAATCTTCATTCATCTCTGATTATTATTCCTACTTACTATCTAAGATTTTATTAACTAAATTTTCTAAGTTTTAATCTTTTGGAGATATTTCATAATCATATTAATCAATTTAACTTTAATGTTAAGTACTTGCAGCTTTGATTGATTATTTTTTTTACTTTGAATCTAATAAAATCTAATTTTAGAGTTAAGTTCTTTATTTAGATGTTGGTCTTGATTCAATAAAGAATTTTGATTAAGTTGAAGTTTCTGAAGATAATCTTTAAATTCTTCTTCTTGTTATTGATTATTAATTAGTTTCTAAAGAATGATTGAATTTGTATTTATTAATAGCTTATTCTATTTTTTTTTAATTTTCTTTATGCTTCTACCAATTAATTTTTTCAGTCTAATTTTTTGTTAATGCTGATTATGAATGATATTAATATTACTCTCTTATTTGTCTATGATAATTATGCCTAGAATTCTATTAAATAAAAAACTCAAAATTGCTAATATGATCACTTTATCGCAATCCTATAGAGTTATGTTAACTTAAATTATAATTAATAGATAATTGACTTGGTTTTTAAGTCAACTCTTTTAATTTCATAATTTTTGAATAATGATAGAAACTTTATAGTTCTTATTTTGATTTAATTGATTTCTAAAATTAAGGGCTTTTAAGATTAGTTGTACTATCTAGCATTTATTTAATATAAATATTAATTGAAACAGTAATTATCTAAATTATATAAAAGTTTATGAATTATCATAATAATATTGGTGATTTTTAACATAAAGTTTTATTAGAAAAGATTGAACCTAAAATTAAATCAATTTAAAAAAAAACTAAAGATAATTAGAATAATAAAGATAGAACTAATTGGATTGATAATCTAATTAGTAAAACTGCAAAGAAATATTCAATTAGTTTTAAATAAAACCTATATTAAATTGAAGTAGTAGAGAATTGGAAGAAATATAATTGTTTAGAAAATATTAGTTTAATATTAGAAGCAGAATTTAAAAAAATGTTTGAATAATTGCAATTTATTTTGAATATAATTTATCCTTTTTTTGTAATAGATTATTATTATTAAATATGATATGATTGAATTCAACATATTCTAAATTTATCTCCACAATTATAACATTCGAAAAACTTAGTAGTTGGTTCATCTGATGCTCTTGTTTATTTTTCATCAACTAAATATACTTTTTTTTATCCACATCCTTTACACATTTTACCTTCAACACCTTCCATTTCTCTTTTACTTAAATCTTTGTAAAATCCTATTTACTCTGCTTCCATTTTTTCTTTTATTATTCTACTTTATTCTTATTTAGTTTCATCATCAACCCAATCAGCAGCTCTAATTTATTATTATAATACTTTAATTATGCTGCAACTATAGGATCAAACACCTATGTAAAAATTCTATATGTTAATGAACCATTCTTATCTTTCTTCAAAAAGCCCGCTAAAATTTTAATATCTTATTCATATGCTTTTCTTGAACTGTTCTCTGTTTATCTCTTATAATAAATTGCTTTTTCCATTTTTTCTACACAATCTTTTATTATTTAATAATCTGAATCGCTTAAATCATCTTGATTTTTAAATGTTTAGATATTTAGAATAAATAATTTACTAATTGCTGTTAAATATTTTATACGATCAACATATGATGGCTAAGGAACTTTATAATTTGAGAATAAATCAATATCAGGTAAAGATTTACTACTTTAAATAGTTTATACACTATTCTATTTTTAAATTTTGATTTCTTGGTTCTTCTCACTTTGTTTCTCCACCTTACTAATTTCAATTGATTTATTTTGAGATAACTTTTTTAATTTATCTTGAATTATAGATGCTTGAACTTTTATTGTTGCAGCTAAAGGTTCACTTTTATCATCAACTGTTGTAAGAGTATGTATAGTTTTTTATATCTTTGATTTATTTACAGCTTCAAAATTAAGTGAAGCTTACTCTAATTATTTTAAGATATTAATTGTTTCTTTTGGATTCTTTTTCCAATCCACAATTTTTTTGCGCAATTCATATAATTCTTAATAATCCATAAAATAATTTAATTTATATGAAAAACTTAATCAGAATTAGAAATTTATTCTTTTCTAAAACATTAACTTATTATTAATTGTGAATTATTCTTTAAATTCATAAATGAGTTTATGTAATTCAATTTATAAATCGATATTTCTTATTCATTACAAAATTTAAGAGAAATCCTAATTAATTACTTTCTAAGACAAATATTTCACAAACCCAAATCTTCAATTATCAAATCAATCCATTTATTAAATATATAAAATTATTTATTTTAATCATAACAATGCTTTGTGATCAATAGACAGCAGTTAAAATTGGATAAAATTTATTCAAAGATTATATGGTAGATGGTAACCTTGGTATTAATTCATGTATGTTTTTGCTTAATTATATTAAGTACAAAAAATGTTAGAAGATTGCTATGCTAAATTAGATTTGCCTAAACCTATTTTAACTGAGGATGATCTACTTCAATATGCTTAGATTTGGGATTTGAATTAAGATAATTCTATCACAGAAGATGATGTTGAAAATAATGCCAAAAAATTATTATCTCAAGAGTAAGAAGATAGTTAAAAAGTATCAGAACTACTTGGCTATCCTCCTATTTAAGTTTAATATCAAAGTTATGTGGTTGAAAATATTGAATTCAAAATAGAAAGTGAAGTTATAGTTTCAAAAGACATTAGATAAGAAACTGGAAATTATTCTTTAAAAGCAATTCCAGAAACAAATATTGAAAAATAAAATTCAAATAAACAAACCATTTAGAGTATTACGAACTCAAATTTATAACCTTTAAGTAAATTATCTAATAATTTTGTGTATCCACTAGAAACAGAAAAAAACAAATATTCTTAATATAATACAAGAACTTAAAAAAAACTTGAGTTAGCAGAGAGAATTTTTAATAAATTTTAAAAAAATGGTTTCATAACAGAAAATGAGGTAAAAATCATTTATTATTTAGGCTTATTCATTACTTAAAGAAACTTATCAACATTTGAATATGCCATATTAAATAACTCAACAGGATGCTTAGTCTTGGATGTTTATGGCTGATAAAGATAAAGATGGAAGAGTTAAATTAGAGGATTTTCATTAAGTACTCTTAGATAGTTTGGTTTAAGCTGGAATTAATATAAATTGAAGTTCAATTTTTTATATTTAAATTTTATTAAAAATACTTTTCAAAATCTTGTTTTTAATAGATGATAATTTGTAATTACAAAATCTTTGTATTTCATTAATTTATATATAAAAATAAATAAGTTAAATCTAAAAAATTCAAAGATTTGATTTAAATGATATTAAATAATCTATTTTTCTTTTTTTAAGATATATTTAGTGCTAAATAAAATAGTGTTTTTTTAATAAATATGTTAAAAGAAACTCAAATAATCACTTTAAAATTAAATATATAAAATAATAAATATGATTTAAATTTGATTATTAAAAATTTTTGTCTGATAAATGATCATAAATATCATTAGTTAAAATGTGTTTTAATACTTGATATACAATTATATGTAATAATTTCTAATTTTTTTAGAAAATATTGCATTTAATTATTTTAAATTAAAGATTCAAATGTATAGATAATCAATTAATCAGAATAAGAGTGTATTTATATTTGAATTGATTAGGAATAGATGAAGATTGAAAAAGAAATTGATTTTTTTATTAAATTTTAATGTAGTATAAATAATTGGATGGTAAATCAAATTATTGGAAAGCTGCTATGCTTGGCACGATTTTCCTTTTCATGTTTTCATCATTCAATTCAGCAGCTAATTTAATAGGGTTTCTTTATAAAGAGGCAAATTATGATGATTTAGGAGTGATTTCATTATTTTCATTATATGCAGCTTTTGGGATTAGCTCTTTATTTGCACCTAATGTTAGCGCATTATTTAATCCAAAATATGTATATATAATGTATTAAGAAGGATAGGTTATGTTCTTTTCATCTTTTGGGTATACACTATATATGTCATGTGGAATAATTGTTTATTAATGTAAAGAACATGGTACACAAGATGGAGTTTGCAGTAAAAGTATATTGTATACAATTGTTAATTTTTGTGCAATAATAAATGGTATATGTGCTAGTACTTTATGGGTTTCATAACCATGGTATATAACAAGCATTAGTACAAATGAAACTAGAGGAAAGTATTTTGGAATATTTTGGGCATTAATGTAATCTTCTTAGATTGTAGGAAATATAATGGGATTAGTTTTAGTACAACTATCTCCTATGATATATTTTTTAGTGATGACAATTGTTTGTGGTATAAGTGGATGTTGTTTTTTATTTTTGCCATCAAAATTTGAGAAAGCTTAAGAAGTGAAGAGTGTAAAAGAAAAACTTCGAGGAATTTGTATTATTATAAGTTCAAGAAAGATGAGACCAATGTTATTATATTATTATTTTGGAGGAACTATTGTAGCATTTTATACAGGATTTTTGTATAAACTTATAGCTGCATCATAATCGGAAGATCAAAGTTAAGATGAAATAGCTAAAAAGTAAGCATATGTATTTATTGTTCTTGGTGTTTTTGAATTCATAAGTGGAATTTGTTCTGGATATTTATCAGATAGAGTTAATCGTTATATGATTGCTACAACTAGTACTATCATTGTTGAATTGGCTTTAATTGTTAGCATTATTAGTTATTATACTGATAACTATACTTTATGTTTTATATCTGGAGCTTTATGGGGAACTTCTGATTGTCTTGTTTCTAATATGACTATGGTTATTACTACAACACTCTTTCCTGATTAAATTGAAGCCTTTGCTATTAGAGCTATTATGACATCTTTTGCTACCAGTGTTATGTTAATTTTTAGTATATTGATTCCCAATTAAATCATTTATCTATTAATTGTTGTATTAGTCGAATTATTAACTAACATAAGTACAAGTAAATTAGGAACCAATTAAAAACCAGATGAAATAAAATTGTGATTTTTTATTCAATTTATAATGATAATATTTCAAAAAGTATTTAATTATAAATCTGGTTATTAAATAAGCTTTTGTTCTATTTTTATTTTTTAATTGTAAAGTTTAAAAATCAACTATATTCTTAAACTCAATAATATATCTAGTCTATAAAATGTCATACTGCTACCTGAGCCAGCTCTAAATCCTCTTAAAATTTTTAGATTTAAATAAAATCAATCCAACTTCATATCCAACTAATGCATAAAGTAATCCATATATCAATCCTTTAGTAATTTTTTAGTCTTTTTCAATGAACTCCTTTGTCGTTTATTAATGGTTAGTAAAAAAAACACTTCTTTTAAGACATTTATTTGTAAAATATTTATATAATATTTACATTTAGCTGTCAAGCAGCTTTAAAATATATTTTATCATTAATATGTAATTAAATTGGAACTGAATTTTAAATTATAAATGATTGGTTCTGATCAGTTGACCATTAAGGAGTAAAATTAAATCCATTCTTTTAGATATTAACTTAAATTTATTAATGAATCTATACCCCAAGAATCCTCTCTGTGTGTAAAATCTCTTAAAACATAATCCCAATCAAATTAATGATATATTCTTGTATCAAGAATTCTTATTAAGACATCATCAATTCTTAAGTAACTACGAATCAATCCAAAAAAGCAATCTCCCATAACTCTAAATCTATATTCACAATTCGATAATCCATTATCACCTAATTCATCTTCAAACAAAGATATATGAGATGCCCATTTTATAGGATTCGCCTATAATTATTATACAACATTAAATTTACTTAAGTTAAATTATTTAATGGTATCTCATCTTATGTATATTCACAATGGAATGTTTATGATTTTGTATTAAAAACTTAATTTAAATACTCTACTTCTGTTTTTATAAGATTCTCATTCAATTATTTCTCAAATATTGATTTTCCTTTAATTCCGGTGATTTGTTTGAATCTTTAAAATTAATAACCTATTTGATCCCCATCTACTATTGTGCCCTTATAAGGAGATGAATAAAATGTATCAGATATTTTATTTAATACTTTTATATCTTCATTTTATTTCTGATTCCAAATATTTGCATATTTAAGTTAAGCTTGTTCTGGTATCACAGATATATAGTTTAATTTATTTGATTTCAACTCCTTTTAAATATCAACATAATTCGATTCTCTTGCTTAATAATTGCATAAATATAATGCATCTTTAGGATCCACCAAAAAACCAAAATTACATTGCTTATTGTAAATCAATCCACAATTATTGCCATTTGTAATGTCTGGAATACCTTACAAAGTCAATGCATCTTATAACATATCCAAATCTGATGTATTATACATTCCAGCCTTAGTGAAAATGAAATTCCATCCATTTTATTCATACTCTTCAATATTTACATCATTATATGTTTTATGTGAGATTATATTCATTTTTAATAATAAAATATAGGAGAAATATCATATATAATATCAGATAATATAAAAATTGTGCATCAATGTAAATCAGAGAGATTCCCATTTTTATCATCATTAATTATAATATAATTATATTATTATTAAAATTTAACTTAATGTTATTTGCTTAAATACCCAACTCTTATATTTATATTATTTATATTTGTGTTAAATATCTCATTTAATTAATCTTATACACATATGTATTAAATCAATCAAAATTTCTATTTTTATTCACTATCTGTATGACTACCATTTTTTGAAGAACTACTTCCAAATATTGATATAAATCCTCCGAAAAGACTGTTATTCTTAGGACTCTAAATTTAACTGGATTATTAAAGAGCAAGACATTATTATGCTCTTTATAAAAAGTTTCTAATCTTCAAATTAATTAAATACTTTATTTATTTGCATATCTTTTTTATATCTTATCCTGGACTTAATTTAAACACTTCATCCCTACTTCTAGCTTTAACTGATAGATAAAATGATTAATCATCTTTTATTTTTAAATCTGTAATATCGCTTGCTTTATACACAAATCTTTAGGCAGTTGTTTCAAGCTCAAAAATGTATTCTTAAAATAAATTTTATCTCAAAATAAAAAGACATTCAATATCTAAGAATTAATTACTAAGTGTAAGTTTATATTGTAAGAATTTTCCTCTTGTTTCCTCCAATTCACTCAATATCTAAGCAACTCTAAATCTGGAATCATCTAACCCTTTTTATATTACTCTTGTCTCTTCATCTTTTAACTAAACTTCCTTTTCAATTGTTTTCAATTTTAACTATAATTACATGCGTTCTGCATTTAAGTCTTTAATTTTATTATATAAATCTTTTTCAATATCCTCTATATTCTTTCTTAATTAAATAATTAAAGCATTCTTATCTTCAACTTCTTTAGTAAGTTTATCAATCTAATAATCTTTTGATTTTAAATCTCTTTCTAATTCTTTATAACCTGTCTAAAGTATTTATAGTTGGGCTTCATTATCATCTGTTTTCTATTTTAATTCTCTAATTATAAATATGAACTTTACTGTTAAAGTTATTTAATTTATTTTGTGTAATTGCTGTTATTATTTAATTGATCATTTTATAAAGTTAATCGAGATGATCCGATTGAATTAACAAGAGTATTTCTTTATTTTTCTTGGTTAGTGTTGAGAGTTTAAATTTATTATTATAAATCTCTAATCATGGAATTATATTTTTCTTCCTAAATTATAAATTAACTATTTTACTAAATCTAACTTTTCCTAATTTAAATTTATATTCTTCTATGTTAAATCCTATATTGTCTTTAATAATTATGCTTTTTCTTCTCTTAGATCAATGACAGCTTTTTTTAAAGTACTAATCTTCTGTTTATCACTAATCTTATTCACACTACCATTGTCTGATAAATTGTCATTTTGACCTTATGGAGGCTTATTCATTCTTTAAAATTATACTAATTAATATATATTAAGAATATAACTAATAATTCAAGAATTATTATAAAATATTTTTTGTAGCATTTTTGGCAAACTTAAACTTATATTATGTATCTTTATATTTTAAAATTGAAATTGTATTCACATTTACATATAAGTTCTTTAAAATTAAGTTAGGATAAGTTTTTTTAATAGAGACATTATTATTTTTATTAAAACATAAAGAATTATATAGCATAAACTTTGGAATATAGTTATATTATAGAGAAAATTAAGAAGATTGATGTAATAATGGCTTAAGGAATTAATTTAAGATTTTATAGATTGTTATAGAAGGAATCTATTTAATTAGTAATTAAAAAATAAAATTCAATTGATAAGATGAGAATAATTCAATAAAAAGAAAAATTGGTCATATGCTTATAAAAGTTCTTAAAATGAATTAGAAATAAATCAGATGAATTTTAAAATAGATTTAATAAATTTAATACAAACATTTATACATATAACGATAGATATCATTGGATTTTATAGAATTAGTAATATTAGTGATAATGTGATTTGTTTTTCATAAATATTGTAATGATTCAAATATAAAACTATTATAAAATTTCACATATCCAAATTAAGCAATAACATAATTTTTGTCAACAATCTACTTTAAATGAGAATATTGATAGTTTCTATAATAAGATAAATGAATTACAAATCATCAATTTTAACATTTTAATTTTCACATTTAATTTTGCAAATTTGCTTTCTTATAATGGCCATTAATTATTTTTCAGTATCAGTCAAACTGTTAATAAATTCTTTTTATTTTTATATAATAATATCTTAAATAAAGAGATAGTAATACCATCATATTTTTTTCCATATTAAATAGAGTCTTAATTCCAGTCATATCTAAAATGTAATTATTTTCCATTATTAAATTCTCTAATTTCCATGGCATTAACACTATAATCATCTAACATATAATTTAAATTGCTTAATTCTTTGGCACTAATAAGAATTGTAGTAGTGTTAAATTTATGGAGATTGCTTAAAATTTAGCAAATAAAACATTATTTTTTACTAATAGATAAATGTAAATTATCAATAGCAATAGTAGTTGGTTTTTATTATGTAAAATGAATAAGTTCATGTAAGTTGTTAGTACCAAATTGTTATAAAGCTTATTCTTAATTTTGAATTTCAGATTAGATATTTATATAGATAGCTTATTAACTTTCTTTGATTGATTTATTGATGATGAATTATAAAAAGGTAGAGATTCCATTCTATTTAATCCCATAAAATAGTTAATATGAATGTTATTATATTTGATTTTAGAGAATGAGTTCATCTAATGAATATTCAATAGGATATTATTTTGTAAATGAAGTTTATAATTGTTCTGTGAAATCACCAATTTTATGAGTAGTTTCAGTATAGATTGCCATAGCTCCTAGAATGATTAGAAACATATCCAGAATATATAACTTTTTTTTAGGATTAAGTTTAGTTAGTTGAATAGTAAAACTAATAGCAAGAATGATTGCAGATGCAATAATTATATACATTAAAATAATTTATTTGGAAGTCTTATAAATAAATAAAATATGAAAATGAATTCTAGTTATTATTGAATAAGAGCAGAGGGATTTATTTAATTGTGAATAAATTTAAAATATATTTAAATCTTTTTTATTATGGGAAAGAATTATAGAAATAGATCAAAGACATCTGACACTCCAAGAAAACCCTTTGAAAAGGAACGTCTTGACAATGAGTAATTAATAATATATATTAAATTTTAGATTGTAAATTATTGGTAAATATGGTTTGAAAAATAAGAGAGAAGTATGGAGAGTTTAACTTACATTGGCTAGAATTAGAAAGGCAGCAAGAGAATTATTAACACTTGATCCAAAAGACCCAAGAAGATTATTTGAAGGAGAAGCCTTAATTAGAAGAATGGTTCGTTATGGTTTATTATCAGAATAAGAAAGAAAGTTGGATTATGTTTTAGGTTTAACAACATAAAAAATGATGGAAAGAAGACTATAAACATTTGTATTTAAAAGCAATTAAGCATCTTCAATTCATCATGCTAGAACATTGATTAGATAGCGACATTTTAGGTATAATTTAGTATTATTAAATTTATTTAGAGTTGGAAAGAGATTAGTAAATTCTCCATCATTTTTAGTAAGAGTAGAATCTGAAAAATTGGTTGATTTTGCTGTCACTTCACCATTTGGATAAGGAAGAGAAGGAAGAAGAAAGAGAAAGAATGCTAAAAGAGCAAAACCAAATAAAGAAGAATGAAAACAATTTATTTTAGCATAAGTACAATATTATCTATTTATATATATATATATCTTTTATTATCAATCAGCCTATACATCTATTGCATATAATCCTGGATGAATACTTTTTGGATTTCCTAATTTTCTCATTACCCAACTTTAAGATGGTTTCAACACACATATTAAACTATTTTATTATTTTTAACTAAATTTTACCCTGAAAACAATTTTGTCTAAGAAGCATTACAAGAATTTGGACATTCAACTTCTCTATTCCATTATTCTATTGTCATTACCATTCCACATTATTAACATGCTTTCAAATCTTTTGTTGATTTGGGTATTACAAATTTCTTTTCATCATATTCTGAAATCTCTGATTCTGACTGCATTTTAGTGTGTTTATTATTATTATAAATAATTCAAAGTAAAATTATTTATAATTAACTTATCATTCTTTTTATTTTCTCTTTTTATTCTTACTTACTTTATTCTAAATTATAAATTTATTATTTTCCTACATATTCTATCTATTGTAAATATCTTTATAATCCTTTAATTATACTTAATCCCAATTATTTAATTAAATTAAGTTCAAGCAAATATTCAAATTATTAATCTAATAATCATTTTATCAATATACTTCTTAAAACATTTCTAAACTATTTCTAAATTTTAAATTCTTTATCTATTCTGATATTTAATCAAAAATAAACCATTTTAAGTTGAATTATGTCTAAAGAATATTTCGCATCATATATTAATTGCCTCTATTTTGATTATTTATTAAAATCCTAATGTCTTCATCAAAAAACTAATCATTCACTAATTCAAAATAAGCTTACTCAAACTAAATAAAACATCAAATTATTTGATTACAAAATCTTGCTTCTCTTCTATGAGCTTTTCAAATTATGATATATCCTATATCTTATTTTCAAACTAAATTTAATTCACTATTTATTTACAATATGGACATATTTCTTTTGGTAAAACTGCTATTTTAAAACACTCTTAACATATTTTATGCTTGCAATTCATTTCTACTAAGCTATTTTGATCATTGCAACATATTTCACAGAATTCTTTTACAAAATCCATTAATATCAAATAAATTTTATTAAATTCTTTAATTATTCTCAAAGGCTTTAATAATTCACTAAAATATTATTTTTAGTAGTTTTTGAAAATATGTATCGATACTAAAATTTTCTTAAAGGTATTTTTTATATTTTTATATAAATTATTTGTTAATTATTACTACTAAATCATCAAAAACTAATATTTATTATTTGGTANCAACTTTAAGATGGTTTCAACACACATATTAAACTATTTTATTATTTTTAACTAAATTTTACCCTGAAAACAATTTTGTCTAAGAAGCATTACAAGAATTTGGACATTCAACTTCTCTATTCCATTATTCTATTGTCATTACCATTCCACATTATTAACATGCTTTCAAATCTTTTGTTGATTTGGGTATTACAAATTTCTTTTCATCATATTCTGAAATCTCTGATTCTGACTGCATTTTAGTGTGTTTATTATTATTATAAATAATTCAAAGTAAAATTATTTATAATTAACTTATCATTCTTTTTATTTTCTCTTTTTATTCTTACTTACTTTATTCTAAATTATAAATTTATTATTTTCCTACATATTCTATCTATTGTAAATATCTTTATAATCCTTTAATTATACTTAATCCCAATTATTTAATTAAATTAAGTTCAAGCAAATATTCAAATTATTAATCTAATAATCATTTTATCAATATACTTCTTAAAACATTTCTAAACTATTTCTAAATTTTAAATTCTTTATCTATTCTGATATTTAATCAAAAATAAACCATTTTAAGTTGAATTATGTCTAAAGAATATTTCGCATCATATATTAATTGCCTCTATTTTGATTATTTATTAAAATCCTAATGTCTTCATCAAAAAACTAATCATTCACTAATTCAAAATAAGCTTACTCAAACTAAATAAAACATCAAATTATTTGATTACAAAATCTTGCTTCTCTTCTATGAGCTTTTCAAATTATGATATATCCTATATCTTATTTTCAAACTAAATTTAATTCACTATTTATTTACAATATGGACATATTTCTTTTGGTAAAACTGCTATTTTAAAACACTCTTAACATATTTTATGCTTGCAATTCATTTCTACTAAGCTATTTTGATCATTGCAACATATTTCACAGAATTCTTTTACAAAATCCATTAATATCAAATAAATTTTATTAAATTCTTTAATTATTCTCAAAGGCTTTAATAATTCACTAAAATATTATTTTTAGTAGTTTTTGAAAATATGTATCGATACTAAAATTTTCTTAAAGGTATTTTTTATATTTTTATATAAATTATTTGTTAATTATTACTACTAAATCATCAAAAACTAATATTTATTATTTGATATTTGCAACTTGATTAAATTATTTAATATCGAGTTTAAAATTATCTCCTTATAAATGTATAAATATATGATTAATTGCTATGTTTTAAAAAAGAGAATCGATATATTAATTCATAATATTCTGTTTCTATTTATTTTTTTTATTAAGGTACATTACAAAAATTTAAAATAAAAATTTCATTCAATGTGCTAATTAGAATCTTCCTATTATTCTACCTCTATAATAAATTTATTTTTTACTTATTTCTTATTAAAACAGAATGTTTCTTCTTTATAATTACTTTACCTTGCAAAATACATATTTTTTTACATTGTCTTTTATTTTGGTATAATCTAAATTCATTACTCTATATAAATATTAGTTAATATTATAATAATTATAAATTTTAATTTCTATCTTATAACATTGATTTTCGCATTTCTATTGGAACACCTTTTTTGATGAATAATTTATTAATTACATTTTAAAAATAATATAAAGTTATTCTTACATCGAATGATTTGATTCAATAAAAAAAATAGATAAAAATTTTTCCATTTGTAAAAAATATGAATAAATACACTTTGAAATTTATGGATAGCAAAATAGAGGCTCAATATTAAGAGTTTAGAAGAAAAGAAATACTAAGAAAAGTATTTTATACTATGACACCAATCAGTTTGATATTCAATATTTTAAAAATATCTGTTGATATAGCAAAACACAAATATGATTAATTGTTAATCAATTTTGCAAATATGGCAGTAATTCTAATTGGTGTTCTTCTATATAAAGTAAATGAGAAATACCTTAGACTTGTTATAACTGTATATAGTATTATATCAGGTTTGTTACAGCTTAATATAGATCCAGAAGATGCAAAACAATAAGATTATTATAATTTTGGTAGCATTGTTACTTCTATATAATCAGTACTTTACTTTTTAAGTGACTTTCCTGATGCTTGTATTTAAGTAATATGTCATTGCACAATAAGATTATTAATTACTTCAATAACAACAAAATATGTAGATTTCTAGGATTACTTATTGAGCTTTTTTGTTATAGCTTTTTAATTTTTAGTTCTATACAAATGTGATTAGAATTCTAGAAAGCATTTTTTGCTAAGAGCTAAAGAGGATTAATGGGATATTTAGTTAATAAATTTAATTAATTCTCCATTTTACTAATTTAAATTTATTAATGAGGAGCTTAAATTTGATTTAATTTAATCTAATCAATTAGAAATGTTTCCTAATTATAATCCAAATTTTTGTGAGGGATGCAATTTCCGTAGATTCTTAAGGTCTACTTAAGTGTAAGAAAATTCAAATTTGGAAACATATTTATTCTAATTTAATATGAAAAATTTGGAAAATACATTTGAAATTAATCTATTAAATAATTATCGATATAAACTTAAATTTATCAATTTAGGTGTAGAAACTAAAAAATATCTTATCATTTTAATTAATCTCAATATCAACATTAAAGATCAAAAATAAAATATTTATATTAAATAAGCAAAAGAAGACTTGTACAATACAGTCAAAATACTCTAAAAGACTAATTCAGAATTTATAAATTCCTTTAGAATGGGAGTATTATCATTAATTTTACTTAATAGTCAATAAATAAAAAGAATTAATCTAACAAGACGATTTTAATAATGTATAAAATTATTCAAATAATTTGGATGGAAATTCAAATTAAAATCAAAACATGACATTTACATCAATTCTTATTATTGTTTGATTAATATCTTTTTAATCCAATTGTTTTTACTATTTTAAAATTAAAAAAAATAAATCCAATTAATTGATTTAATAGAATTAGAAAATGAAGTAATGATTTGTATTTAGCCATATGACTTTTAATAATTTAGAGTTGAATTTAATGAAAACTTTTTTATAAATCAAATAAAAAATAAAATTTTAATACAAAATAATCTGAATAATTAATAAATATAACTTATTAAATTCGTTGAAATAGCATTTAATTAAATTGATAAACAAAACATATTAGTGGATGTCTCACAATTATGAATTATATTATTAAACTTAATTAATTTTTAGATAATTATTTTAAAATTATTATAATCTCATTATTTTGTGGTGTTATACGATTTGGTTAAAGTGATGAATCACTATAAATTTGTAATTGAATGTTAGCTTAAGCATAGTCTTAATCTTATAATTAAAATTCAAAACCTTCCATATCATATCTATCTTAATATAAGGAATATGAAAGATATTCTTGTTTATTCTAAAAATTTCTGTTTACTTCCAAATTGTAATTAAAACCTAATTTAGTAAGTTGATTTAATATAGATAGAAGTGTTATTTGTAGTTAAGAATCAATTGAATAATAAGGGTTAATTAAAAAGGTTGAATTCGTTCTTGATTAAATTTTTTATCTAATTTATTTGAATTATCAATTATTATAAAATTAGTATTGAAAACTATATCAAAAATTAAATATTTATATTTTTATTAATAATCTATGTTGTTAATCATATAAATAATTTAATTAATATTAGAATGAAATTTAATATGATTCTATTTATCATTAATACTAAAGATATGTATTTGTATTTTCATAAATAAATATTAAAAATACATATAATTATGTTGAGTTTTATTTTAATAGTGTTGAGAATCTTTAATTTATCTGCCTATTACATTGTTGGTTTGAATGAAGAAGTTTAAATAGAGACATATTAATTAGAATTGAACCCTAATAAATATGTAATAAATTCATATTTTGCTTATGGATTATGGAGTAGATATACTCCACTAGGATAAATAGGTCAAGTTGGACCAATAGGATTTTTTGATAGTAATTGTTTTCATCTACATAATGCTGTATCACAATAAAACTTTGATTTGAATCTAATCGTCTATGATTGTCTTAACTATGAAACTTAAACTATTATCAGAAGGATTTAATTCATTACCATAGATGAAAATTGGCATTTATTTGAAGTTAAAATTGATAATAATCAATATGAATATGTTTGGCATTATTTCGAAATTACTTAGTGGCCATTACAAAATAGGTTTGAATTATTGATTATTTAATATCCTGAAATAAAATTACATCATGTTTAAGAGGATATTTAATTTCCTTTCAAAGACACTTAATTACTTCTCACTTTTGGAGGTGGATTACAAATATCATAATTAAATACGAATTAGATATTAAAAGAAATATCAAAATTTTCATTTTTCCCAGGAAAATTTTATTTATATCCATTGTCTATTGGGACTATGTCAATTTCAAGAAATGCTGCTAACATTGCATTAAGTGTATTTGAATTTAGAGCAGATTGTTTATGCAATTATAATATGTAAATAAATATTCCAGATAAAGTGATATCTCGTTTAGATAATTTTATATATACTTCTAAAAATACAAATTGTAATTCATATTTGTTTTCAACTTGGATCAAAATTTAAAATATCTATTAATCTTCATCAGAATTTTTATACAAAATATTATAATTATCAGCCAACTTTGAAAATCCTTAATTAATTAATAATAATTTAGCTACCTTTTAATTATTTTATAAATTTACATCATCAAAAAATTAAATGATTGTTACTACTTATAGTTATACTCTTCCTATTATATCTATTAATTTTGAAGATGATCCATTTTTAATCACAAAAGAATTTGATCTTTTACATAATATGCAACTTTGGCAAAATGTTTTAGTGATATTAAATGATAAGTAATTATAAATATCAATCATATTTTATGAGGGTTTACAATAGCATTAGTATAATTATGAATAGACAGTTAATTAATTTAATGTTGTCAAATTTAAATTATAATATGGAAATGTGTAATAGTTAGTAAATGATTATCTTTCTGTTTAATTTTTAAATTCCTTTTTTTTTAACTGTCTTTCATTTATAATATTACCTGAATTAAATTGTGATTAAAGCTGTAAATAATGTGATGGTCCTACTAGTTAAGATTGTTTATCTTGCCCTGAAAATTCAAATCGTATTTATATTGCTGATCAAAAGTCTTGTATATGTCCATATGATAGAGTTGATGATATAAATTGCTAAGATTATTAAAATTATAATTTTGTACTTGTTAAAGATGATAAAATAGATTAAAAATGCATTTAAGGATACTTTTAGTTTGAGGGAAATTGTATCAAATGGTAATTAATAATATTTACATTAGTCCATCATTAATAAGTAGTACAGCAATTACATGTTTAGAATGTGTTTATTAGCCTTAGACTTGGGAAAGTAATTCTTTTTGTGAAATAACTTTATATAATGATATCTAAGGAAGTGTATCTAAGTTTAAAAAAACTTCTTAATAATATTATATATTTGATGGTAGTGATCTATAAATAAGATATTATTAAAATTCAAAAGTAATTAATGAAGAAATCGAGAATAATTTTGAATTGGCTTCTATTAATTTTAAGAACTTTTGCTTCTAAACTTATTCTGTTTCATCCATATATAGAAGTGAGAAAGAATGTTATTAATGTTCTTTACAAAACTGTGTGATTTGCTAAATAACTGCTTTTAAACAAATATGCTTAGTTTGTGATGAGTATTCAGTACTTAGAGATGGAGTTTGTGTAATAGATACTTTGATGGGATAAATTAATATTAATACTTGCTTAGCTCCTTATTATTAGACTTCCACTTACTAATGCAAATTATGTAATATAAATAATTGTTAATATTGTTTTGAATATTTAAATAATGATTTAACAAAATGCACTTTATATAGAAGCTATTAATCTTTTAATATAAATGAGTATCATCAAATAGGTTGTGCTTTATGTAAAGATAATTTTATTTTTGATTTTACTTCAGGTATATGTAAATATGAAATACCAAAAATAAATAATTGTATAAGATCTTATATAAATTTATAAGGATAAGAAATATGTACTTTATCAAAAATAGATGATTTTAAGATTGCTCCTGAAATTATTAATTGTTAAAAATATATTTAAAATTGTAAACAATGTTTATAAACTCCTTAAAAAGTAATTAAATGTATATTATGTGAAGATGGTTATACAACTTCAATAACAACAGGATAATGTTATAAATGCACTATTACTAATGCTAAAATATGTATTGAAGGGGATTATTAACTTAAAGATGAATGGGTGTAATTAATTTAGAGTTTTTTAATCCAATTTTTACCTAATCAATATATGTATCCGAAATCTGATATATAACGATACATAATTCAATTACCATATTAATGTTAATAAGGTTTTAAGCCTGATCCTTTTAGAAATTGTATTAAATATTGCGATTCTAATTGTTTATCATGTGCATTGACTGAAGATTAACCGTATTAATATATTTGTAAAGAATGTCCTTTGGATTATTTTAAATTACCTTTAAAATCAGCTGAAGAAGGTAAATGTATTTAATGTCCTTAATTATGTTCAGTTTGTAAATCTAGAACTGTGTAAGAAATCAAAGTATTAATATATATAATCTTTAGATGATTAATCCTTATTTTATTATAACAAGTGATTCAATTAATTATACTTATAAATGTCTTTAAAAAGCTTAAGATAATAATATAGTTATTGATCCTTATACTGGTATTGCTAAGTATTGTTATAATTCTCTTTGTACTGACATTATTTAATATTAAGTAATTTTTATTAAATAATTTAGTTTGATATTAATTGCTAAAATCTATAATTTTTAATAAGATATTAAGATCCTTAATTTTATCAGAATAATATAAATATTAATTATTGTAATAAGTTAGGAATCTAAAAAATAATTATTTGGATGAGAGTTTCATTCAAATCTGAAGTTGCTTGTAATCTTCCAAGTTTTATAGATATTCAAAATGATCTTAAAAACAAAATTTTTCCTCTTCAAGAAGTTTAACTTAAAATAGAAGGTTTAGAAAGAATTGGCTTTTACAAACCATTAGTTTTAATTAATTTTAACACTGTTGAAATTATTAATATGGCATTAGAAATAAGATAAGTGTCATATTTGAATATAGAAAATAATTCATCCAAAATTAATTTAATTATCAAAGATTCAACCATATTTGGATCTTTAAATGAAATTTAACAATATTCAATAAATATAACTAAATGGGGAGATCTAATAATCGAAAATCTGCAAATAATAAATTTAAACTTTTTAAATTTTTATCTTTTTAATTACATTTCAATAAGTCCAGAGAGCAAAATTTATATTTATAATTTAACTATAATTAATTCCTTCTTTAATAATAGTATTTTATTTGCATTTTCAAACCTATAACAGAAAATTAACATTACCAGAATTTACTTGTAAGATTGCTAATTTTATAATTCCTCATTATTTTCATTTAATTAAATTTCTCCAAATTCATTATCATAAATAGATATTGTAAACTTAAATTTAGTAAATATTACTTTTTTAAGTTCAAGATTAATCGCACCATCTAATTAGATTGAAATAAATCTTTAAGATATATATATTTATAATAACTAAATTACTAATTCGACTTTGTTTGAATTAAATTAAAATTTAGTTATTTAATAGATTTTATTACTTAAAAACAAATTCTTTAATTCAATATTTGCATATATTACTGAAATAGAAGGCTTATAAAACTCAATTATAATTGATAATTTTAGAATTTAATCAAATGACTTTTAAACTTCATCTATAATAAATACTAAATTATTTACAAATAATATTTTTAGTAAGTTTCAACTTACTAACTTTTTTATGAAAGATAATTACAGAATATTTGACTCAGGATTATATCTGTTTAATATAAATTGTTATTAGTTAGTAATTTAAGAATTTTTTATAATTAATTCAAATAATCTAAATCATTTTAAATTATTTGAGATATAATCAATAATAATTGAAAACATGAATTATTTAAATGACCAATAAATTTATAAAGTGCCTTTATCTATTGAATGTTTAAATCACAAAGAATAAAATCCACAGTTATTTTATATTTCAGGATTTTCTATGCTCTTAATTCAAAATATTAAGATAAAAAATTAATTTAGTATAGATTATAGTTTTTTTCACATTCTTTCAAATATTTTGTATTCACCTAATATTAAAGAAATAATTTAGATAAAAGACGTAATATTTGAAGGAAATATTATACTAAAACAAAATTTAGGAATCATAATTTCATAAATATCAATCTATTCTGAAAAAAATTAAGAAATTTTCTTGGAAAATATTAAATTTTAGGAAAACTTTTTTAATGAATTAAATGATGATCCATCTTAAACTTCAGCTGGACTTATATTTATTAATTCTTTATAAAGTTATGTATATTTCAATAATTTAACATGTTAATCTAATGGAGTAACTAATTCTTCAAATTCCTTTATATACATAAACTCAAAATCTGTTTAAATAAATTAAATTTCTATAAAAAATCACAACTCTTTAGACTAAAAAATTTGGAATTAATATTATGATATTCCTAAGTAAAATTAAAATAATTAAGATTAAACCAAAATTATTATTTCATCTATATTTAAATTCTTAAATAAAGGAGGAATGATTTCAATAACATCTTCTAATATAATTGTTATCTTAGGTCTTTTTACATAGATATTATCTTAAAGTAGTTCTATTTTTGATATTAAAACATAAGGTTAAGGAATTGTTCAATTTGATTCCCTATTTATTAATTAAGCTGAAGTTGATTTATTATCATAAACTGAGATATAAGGTTCTATTAGTATTTTCTCGAAAAATAGCCTATTGAATTTAAAAATTCGAAATGTTTAGTTTAAGAATGTCTTTAATAGATTAAGTTCTTCAATTCTGTCTATCACACCATCACAGAAATATAATAAAATTGAAATTCAAGATGTGATATTAGAAAATTGCTTATCATTGATTAATCAATTTATGAAAATTGAATTCCCTTAGTAAAAGTTAGATTAAAATTTAGTTTTAATCTAAAATTTATCAATAAATTAATCTCATCTTGATTGGATTGAATATTTCAATAAAATTGATCCAATTAGTTTAAGTGAAATAAATAAAGTGCTTATAGATAATGCAATAATAAATATAAATGAATGTCACTTAATTATAAAAGGACTTAGATGTGAAGGAACATTTATATCACCAATTTTAAAAATTTCAGATTCTTAAAAAATATAGATTAAAAATTGCTAAATAAATTCAGTTAAGACTTTTTATTCATTTAGTATTTTATAGTTTATTTAAACTAAAACCTAAAAAGCTTCAATTTTTCTCGAAGCAATTTCAATTAAAAATATAACATTATTTTAAGATAAAATTGAACAAATAATAGTTTAGAAAACTTTTCAGAACAAATACACAGCTGATAAATGTACTATATTAAAAAATGAGCCTCTAACTTAAGTCATATAAACTTATTCTTTCTAATATATTTTGTAATATTTAAATGAAAATACATTATAAACTGGATCTTTAATTTTTATATAAAGTATTTCAAGTGAAAATATTATAAATCTTAAAAACTTATTAATGAATTAAAATAATTATTCAGAAAAATTGAATGGATTAATATATTTTGATCTATTAGGATTTTAAATATTAAAACTTAATGAAATTAATTGCATTTAAAATAAAATTAATGAATTTGGTTGCCTTAAATTTATTGCAAAGAAAAATTAAGAAAAGAAAATTATATTGAAAAATTCAAACTTTTTATATAATAATGGTACAATAGGATCTGCTATATATGCTACAAAAGTGATAATAGATATTCAAAATAGTAAATTCATTGAGAATATTGCAGAATAATAAGGTGGGGCTATCTATATGGAGAATTGTAGTAACAATTTTAGAATAATTAATTCTTTTATATTAAGAAATAAAGCTTAACTAGGAGGTGGAATCTATTTTAATGGAAATAATCAAATTAATAAAAATAATGTTATAAATTCATTAATTTTATTGAATTCTGCTGAAAAATTAACAGATAATATTGTAGAATTGCCACATCATTTAATTTTATCAATAAATAACTAAAAAATGCTTTCAACATAATAAATATCTGAAAACTTGACTACAAATACTTTAAAATTAGATTATTATAACATAATAGAGTAAGGTATATTATAAAATACAAATTATCTTTATTTACCTAGTAGTCAAATAATTGGCAATTTTAAATTGTGGAATCCAAAAAATTAAGGATATATTTAATACATTTATGATTTCTCAATATTTTTATAAAATAGTATTCATGAAAAAGTTTCAAATTTAATTAACTTAACTTGCAATATACAAACGCTCACTCAAATTTAAAGTAATCAAACAATTGAAAATAGTAAATATATTGAAATTTTACCTTATAATTAAGAAAAAAATATATTTAATTTGGAATAACTTACTTTTACATTCGATCCTTATTAAAATAATGATTAAATTCTTATAGTATAAATAAATTGTTCATCATAATTAAATCAAAAATAATTTATATACAATTTTTCAGCTAAGTCTTTTAAATGTTAATTGGGAGAATTTTATATTAATGATGGATGCTAAATATGTTAATATAATTAAGGTTTTTATTCAGTTACATATAATGCAACAAAATGTTCTATATTTGATAAGACTAAGTTTTTAAATATCACTTCTAATAAAATAGAATTGTTATAAGGATTTTGGAGACCAGATGAATTATCTGATTATACCGAACTTTGTTTTAAATAATAATAATATTGTTTAGGAGGATGGAAAGTAGGAAATAATTTATGTTCAAATGGACATATTGGTGGATTATGCGAAGAATGTGATAATTATAATATAAGAGGGGGAGGGTAATTCTTCAAAGATCACGAAAATTAAACTTGTCAGCAATGTTATAAAAATTCAAAAGGCATACTTTTATTTATACTAGCTTCTTTTTGGTAAATAATCTTATATATAAGTAGGGCTATCTTCTAAATTCTTTTAACATTAAAAAGTATTGATAAATCAAATAAATTATTTTATTCATTGAAATTAGGATAAAAAGTGAGTAAAATTCTATTTAAACTAAATTAAGGTATTTAATTTAATTAAATTAGATCATCAAAGTATTTAAATAAAAATGTTTTTAAATTTTCTTTGGATATTTTCTTTAATTTTTTCTTTTAATATTTAATTTTCATTTTCTTTTGGATTTGTTGATCAAATAAGTAATCCAACTAATTTTATGGCTACAAGTTTAGACTGTTATTTATTAGAATTTTAAAATATTTAGTTAAATTATTCTAGAATTATTGCAACACTACTGTTAATTTTATTACAAATGATTACCATATTTATTGGGTCTTAAATTTTAGTTTTAGCAGCTAAGTTTAAAAATCTTAATAGTGTTTTATCAAATACTGGACTTTATCTTTATGTATCAAATTTTGCTTCATTGATTAAATAGTAAATATATTAAATTATTTATAGATTTTCATCATTGTTATCAAGAAGATAAATATCAAATATTGATTATATTTAAGGTAATGTCTCACTTCTATTTGATACTGAATCTCATTATATTTGGATATATAAATTTATAATACCTGGACTAGGATTTATAGGATGTTTTATTCCAATATTTTTGTTTAGTTTAATGTTTATTAGAAGAAAAAAACTTGATGTAATTAAATTTAGAAAACATTTATGTTATATGTTTAATGAATATGCAGAACATTGTTATTACTGGGAATTTATTAAAATATGGAAGAAAACTATTCTTATTATAATTTTAACCTATTTTGAAACTAATATATTATTAAAAGCATCTTTATTGGGACTTTGTTTATTAGTTTATTAGTTATTCACTGTTAAAATCAAGCCGTTTATAAATTAAAAACTAAATTCTCTAGACTTAGAAACTGGATAATTTTGTTCGATTGCAATATTTTTAGCAGCAAATATATATGTTTGTGAATAAACAGCGAATTATATTTATTCTTATTTACTTTAATCTGCTATTCTTCTACTATTCATCAAACTATGTTATCCATTTATTAATTAGATTATCAGCCTAAATTATAAAATGTAAAAAATGAACATTCTTATTCTATTATTAAAAATTAGTAAATTATTAAAAACTAATTCTAAAATCTCTAAAAATTTAAATTCAAAGTTGATAGAATTTAAATAAAGAGAATAAAAGTTAAAGTAAAATATTTAAAAATTAAAATAACATCTATTCTATATATCTAAAAATATTAATGAATATTAAAAGTATTGATATTATAATTTTTTAGATTATCTTAATAGTAAAATAAATCAACATTTAGGATCTTAACTTCTAGAGAAACTGAAGTTATAAAGTTTATGAAAACTGATTAAGAATGACCTTTTAATTTTAATTAAATGTGTTTGTAAAATTCATAAATTAATATTTATTAATTAATATAATATAAAATCATCTCTGTATGTAATATAATAAATAAAAAAGGAAAAAAATGGTTCAATTCTTTATATTAGATTTTCAAATATTATAATAATATTTAGGCTATTGATTAAATTAATATCTAAAAATAGATTATGGAAATTAAATATTAAATTATTTATCTATTTCCAAAAAATAAATTTAATCTCATTATTTTTAGATCTTGACTTCAGTTTAAGTGATTCAAGATTTTATTGTTCTGTATTGCCTATTCCATGAATTTAAGTTCTTGTTTATAAACTTATTTTTTATTATAAGAAAATAAATTAATATTTTGATCTTCTTTTTATTCAATTTCTTAATATAGTTTTGTTTTTTAATTTCTGCTTCTTTAGTAGTTGGACATCATCTAAAATAATAATAATTGTTATTAAAATTACTAAATTATATCTTCCACTTTGTATGTCTTATTGCGAATTGGACATTTTAATTTTTGATTTTTAAATCTGTTATTAATTTTTCATTGAATATACAACTAAAACATTCTATTTTAATTTTCCAATTAATGATTTTAATTAATTGCTCAATTATTTTAATCTGGGTTATCTCTAATATTCACTTTTTGATTTTTTATATATAAAGTTGGTATAGATATTTAAATGATATGAATGCCTTCATAAGTTTTCATTTGAAATATTTTAAATATCTTCAGTAAAGTAAGAATCTTTTAAAATTAAGCACTAGGATTTCTAGGAATGATTATTTATTATTTTATTACTTCTCTTTATTGTGAGGAGAGTAGAAAAGACAGACATTCTATAGAAAACTAAAGTGTTTCTTGTTTTAGGGATTGAACTATTGAGATATAGATCTAAGAAATAAATAATAAATAAATGATTAATTAATTTAAAATTTATTTCCAATATTTTATTAATAATTGTGTTAGAGTTATTCACAAAATCTATATCTAAAGCTTTCTTAAAATTAGAATTTTATTGAATGTATTTATTCTTTTAAATCTAAAATCAATTTTCATTATTAGAGCAACTTATTTTTTAATAACTATGTAAGTTTTGCAAATATACTTGTTTTTTTATAATCAAGTATAATTTATTTTAAAGCATGAATTATTTTAATATAAGTGATATTTGAATTTTTCAGAGATTTTATCAAATTATTATGATATTGACAGAATCATAGATATCTCTTGTATGTTTTACTATTCTTAAATTTGCTATTGTAGAATTTTTAGATAAATATTATCATTCAAAAATATATCAGTTTAATTATTTGAGAAATACCTATTTTTTTAGATGACTTGATTAGGAGATTTTAGTTATTTCTCATAATTATATAAATTTATATAATTTATTAAATTGATAATTGCTTTTGTATTATTATCTCATTAATTGGGGTTGTAAACAGTAAATCGTGGATTTGCTTGATTAGCAGGATTTGTATTAGGATTTACTGTATTAGGATTTACTGTTGTAGGGCGCATTTGTGGAAGTCCTTGTATAGGTGTAAATCCAAGAGGTGTAAATCCACCATTTGGATGTCCAGCTGCAGGTACACCAGTTGGAGGTCCAGGTTGAGGTACAACAATTGGAGGTCCAGGTTGAATTACAACAAATGGAGGAGCTTAAGGTTAATCTTAAGTTTTAAATTCAAAAATTTCCATATCGTATATATCAAAAAATAAGGAATCTGAAAGATATTCTTGTCTATTCCATATCTCAGTTCCATCTATATCAAATCCATTCCCGAAATTAGAACTACATTAGGTGAATGTTGAATTTATAAGGATATCTCCCTCTCCAAAATTCATAATCCATGTTGACAAATCAGTTTATTAGTTTAATTGAAAAGGTTACTTATTTCTCTTTAATGGAAATATTTTTTCTTTGTTCATTTAAAATAGAAATGATTTCTCTGATTAAGCATAACAATTATAAACCCCAAAAATACATTTATTCTTAGTTTAAATAATTGTTAATGTATCTTTGTTTTTTAATTAATCGATTTATTATAAAGTTTTATAATTTGATCCAGCCTTAGTAAATCTATAAATTCTGTTCAAAGCTTTGTGGAATTTCTCCTCTTATTCTGGTGTTTGTGCTATTCTTTAAATGATATTCTTAATATATGGAGTGGCTAATGAGGATTGTGAAAATGTATATTCTGAAAATGTTCTTTCCCTCATTGTTTAAATTGTCTTTAATAATTCATTAAAATTATTATCAAATCTTTCTAAATTAAAACTAATGAATAAAATTATGACTTACAATTTTTTCTATTTTTCAATTATACCATCTATTTAAAATATTTTCTATTCTTTTTCTCCTTAAGTATTAATTTTCTTGACATATGCTTCAGCTGAAATATTTAATTCTTCAAATTTTAAAGGACTTCTTTCAAATTCAATGTCTAACAATTTTCTTCTCAACTCATCACAGTTAAAATATTCATGAAGAGTTTCACTTGATGTCCAATTTTTAATATTCTCACAATAAATAGCACTTTATTCCAAAAGGTCTTATTCAAGATCATCAATTATTGATGTAATTTCTTCCCTAACCCTAGTTATCATCTAAATATTATTAAATCCATACATTTTAAATAAATTCTTTTTTTAAATAAGGAAAGTGATTTTTGGCATAATTGAAATATTCTTATTTACAATTACTATCAAATTTTGTGTTTTTGAAGGATTCATAAATGTTACCATTTATTAACTTAAGTTTAATAAGAATATCAAATACTTCCTAGACATCACAACAATATTATTAGTAAGAACTGTATTTTCCTAAAAAACATTCATCACAAAAAAGTCTTTTTTTAATAGAGCCTTTATCTTATTTTACCATCAAGTATTTAATTTATTCTCCTTTATGAAAGTGCTGGTCATCTTCACAAAAGATGTCGATCTAATTTTCTTTTTTCATAATTTTTTTAATAGAATTATAAAATTTAATTAATAAATTATTTATAAACAAAGTTATGCTAAATACTTTAGTAATTATTTAATAGAACGTCATCCATTCAAAGATATTAAATTTAAAAAAAATTATTTTAAATTGATATTTTTTGCATAAAATGAAAAATAATTTTATACATTATGAATATTTTTCAAAATAATGAATTAAATGAGATTGAAAGAATTAATAGAAAATATATTTGATTGTATTATAGAGAATAAAGAGAATGAAATGGTACTTGAAAATTAAATTTATATAAGAATTAATGTTTTCTACTTTTAGACAAGTATTTAGTTTTTCTTAAATTATTTTAAGTGTTTAATTAAGAAGGTAATCACAAAAAATAAGCAGGATTGATATTAAGTATTAAAGAATATTGTGTTAATTTATATCCCGATAATCAAGTTTTAATTTCTGAATTTAATGGACTCATTAAAATAAGCTTAAAAAGTAGAAGAAAATCAAGAAATAACTAATAATGGTATTTATTCATAAAACATAAGACCTTGGTATCAAAATCAAATAACTAGATTAAGATGAGCTAGCAAACTCTTTATTATATAAATGTATGTGAAAATGTCTATCTATCATCTTAGAATTTTCATTTATTTTGAACCATCTTCTTAGAGTGATGACTAGAAATGAATAAAGTTATCGATACAAAATGCATTTAGGATTATGCAAAATGATGGAGTTCAATGAATTAGAATTAGTATATTGGCATTTATTGAATTTGTAATTTGACTATGGTAAAAAATTACAGCCAAACTACTCATAAGAGATAAAGTATTCATATAATTTTGAAATAGAACTTGTGCATTTAACTATTTTAAAGATTTTCTAAAAATATAAGCAGAATTTATACCTGATATTTCAATATATAAGAGAGAGTTACTCTTTGTTACATTATCAGCATTTTACACTATAAAATTAATGAGAAATAATTAAAAGTTTGATAAGATAGGAGAGTTTATAAAAGAAGAAAAATTTTGTGAGTTATTCAAAAGAATTGAACCTGCTTTCACAAATGTTTCTTAATAATTAACATTATACATAGTCAATTAAAAATATATGGAAATGACAAAGTTAGAAGAACCATTAGAAGAATAATAAACAAATTATAATTTTATAGTAGAATAGATATTAGAAATGGCACCTGCTTATTAGAAAGATGAAGAATTACCAATAACTAAGAAAGTAAAGAGATAAAAAAAGTTAATGGTAAGAAGAACAGAAACTATATAGAAATAAGAATTAGAATCTTAATAAAAAATAGAGTAATAATCATAACAAATACAATAATTATCTCAATAATCATAATATTAAAATTAATAGTAATAAATTGATTAATAATACATTCATTAACCAATGGGATCATCATTACAATTATCAAGATACAATTAAAAAGAAAACTAGTAATATAATTAAATGAATTAATCTTAAATTCAATAAGATTAATTTATTGTAAATGAAAGATCTTCTTTTTAGTAATATGATAGATAAAACTCATTTGCAATGTAATTGAGATCAAGATACTTCAATAATTTCAGTTAAGAAAGTCTTTAAGCATATTCAAATTAATATTATCCCACGCCATCATAAGAATAATATACATCAAGGAATCAAAAATCAATATAATGGATGAGTAAGAATGGAAAATGAATTATGAATATCTATATTTAATATGAATTCAATATAACTCACTTTAACATTATTTCTCGGAAATTATTTTAATTAAATTGATAAAATAATTCTTCAAAGAAGCATTTTATTTATAAGCCTAAACTTATAGATTTGCATCTATAATTTATTTTTATCTTAAATAATAATTTCTTCTTTGTTAGAAAATATATTCAATTTTCTCTTCTGATAAATGACCTTTTAATTAAGGGTTATCTTCAATTTCTTCAATAATTTTTTATCTTAATTATTTATCATCAAAAGATTCATTCTCTAATTGATTTCCTTAATCTTAATCCTAAGAAGCTCTATTTTATTAAGTATTTTAAGTCTCAGCTAATTCAATGTGATTTTATGATTCATGTTTTTGATTAATTTGTCTTGCTAAAACTGACCATTCCTTTTGATTAACTCCAATTGCTAAATGATAAGATTATCTTATAGCAACAGCCAAAGCCCTATATAAATTGATTTAAGAAATACGTCAAAGCTCCAGGAAGAGTAACAATTATAAATATGAGACTACAAAAATAGTTTTCATAATAGATTTTATTAAAATTGTATCCTATATATAAGCAAATAGAGAAACAAATGATTAATGTCATATTAATCATTTTTTAACAACATCCTCGTAGGCTGCAATATAAGTGTAAATTCTTACAAAAAAGTACAAGAACAGCAAAATGAAAGCAATAAACCTAGAGTTGCACTTTAAAGTATTTATGATTTATATAATTTATCTAAAGCTTCAGTCATATTAAACTTTTCAAATGTATGTTATAAGAGTACACAATACCAGATTATACATTAAATATTAAGAGTATAAATCCAACCTATAAAATATTTGTAATTTCTTTATCCTATGCAATTACTCATAAATGTGCAATGACTTATAATATGTAAATACATACTGATCATACATCTTTACACAATTATTACAATTATAACAATGACTAGTTTTTGGAGGTCTTATAACTTTACATTTTGAACAAAACCTTTCTTAGAAATATTCTCCTATTTCAACACTTCTTCCAATATCAAAAGATTTTATAGATATTGAAGATTCATCATCATTTGGTTAAAGTCTTCTTACTACTCCTGGTTCTGTAAATGTTCCACATAAAAAATTAAACAAAAACAAAACAATGCATATCCAATTGAATAATGAATTTGAAAGGTAATAATCTGCTGAAAAAAAATAGATAAAATAATCTAATTTATACATAATCATAATTTTTACATTAAAGCATTGCATAAGAACCTAACACAAATAATATGATTGCAGCATCAGATATTGATCCTATCCAAAGCTTTCCAATTAAAAGAGAATTTTCAAAATGCTATATTCTCATTATGTTGATGTTTATATTATATTTATTTATTTATCAGTATTCTATAAATTATTCTATTTTACACTCTATCATTCAGATCTGTAAATATTTTAATAAATTGTAGTCAAAGCATTTACCTTGAATTAATATATAATTTAAATCGTTAATTACATGAATAAAGAAAATGAAGTAATTAATTTACCTGAACTTACTTGTAAAGCACATACAAATAAAAAAGTATAAATTTTACATCTACTTAAAATAGGCTAAATATAAAGTGATTGGAGTCCCTTTTAACAAACCTAAATTTAATCTGACTGATTTGATCTGTTCAAAATGTGCAATTGTTTTAATAAGTTAAGGTTATAAAGTATTTTATATGATGAATATAGATAGAAGATATTTAAACTGATTAAACATCTCTAAGACAAGAATAAATTTAATAATTCTTAGAAACTATTTCTTAAACCTTCTTAATTATTGATTAAAATGAATAGCAATTAAGTGAAAAGAAGTATGACTTAGTTAGATTTTGTGAAAAGTAAAAGGACAAAGTTAAAGAACACTATCATTAGATGATCTTAGCATTAGATAATAAATTAAAAGAATAGATTGATTATTTGAATGAATTGTAATTAAAAGCTGTTGAAATTTTTGATTTAAAATAATAACAGATCAAAGATAATCACAATGAATTAGTTTAAATGTATAGTGACATTGAAGTTAACCTGGATAATATTATTGTACAAATTGAATGTTTACCTTATAAACAAATTATGGGATAATACAATAAAAGAGTCTAAGATATATAACTATAATTATAAAAATTAGAGAATACTCATGTACATCTTGGCAGAGTTTATAAAAAAGTTAATGAAAATAGAATTCTTGGAGGTTTGATAGAAGATTGTGAATTGGAAATTAAAATTGTTTAGACTACTTTATTAAAGAATGAATAATAATAATAATAAATTTAATCTACACAAAGGGCTACATCGCCATAATCAACATAAATTACATATTCTACAACTTAAACTCCTGATAAATAACGTTCGAATAGCCAACCTAGCAAGTTTTTAGAAATTTTAAATAAAGTAAACGAAAATTAATTAAAAACAAATAACTATTATACATAATTATTAAAAAGAGATTCATCATTTGATCTAAATGATAAATATTGTTCACCAACATTTAAGAAATGATTTTATGAAAAGATTAATTTTATTTATTGATAAATCTGTATGCATTTTTTTAAATTTCAATTTTCAAAAAAGGACCATTTAAACTAAATTTCATTTTGAATATTAATTGCATATAATCAAATAATAAATTTTAACCTTATGATTGAATTCTGTTAATTAAGCAGTCTTTAATTTGATTGATAAATTTAGCTTATCTTAAATTTTTAATAATTAGAAAGAAAATAGTAGTTTTAATAAGCCTAGATGAATATAAATTATTTATTTATTAATAATATTATTAAATTTATGGATTTAAAATTTAAATATGTATAAATTCATTTTTGCTTTGATTAATTTTTCGGAGATGCAGAAGTTAGTAATGAATGCATTTCCAATGTATAATCAAGTTAATAATTAGAAGCGATTGTTTAAAGAGTTTTAATGGTTAATTTCAATTAATTTATTTAAACATAATCTATATAAATACAAAAAATTTATTTTACTAGGTGAACATGTAATAGTAGGACTGGAATATTGTATGTTTTAATTCTATTTATATCTTATGATCAAATTTTGAATTTTCATTAATGGTTCTTTAAGGAAGTCTTTTTAATACTTATAAATATACCTTTATAGCTTACTTTAAGTAATGATAATGCTGATTTCTCATACATAGTAAAAATTTAAAAGAATTTAGATATATGCTTTAGAAGATAATATTATGGGTACAATATTATTGTTTTAAATTATTAAAACTTGGAAAAGAGAAAGGAGGAAAAAGAAGGAAAGTTAAGATAACA